ATGCTTATGTAAATCCAAATCTGATTTACCCATCTACATTTCCACCTGTCAGCTGATTGTTTTGGTTGTTCGGCTCGCTGCTATACTCTTTGGTCTCATTTCTCTCATCCATCTTTTTTGAGTAAAAGATGTTTTTAGAGAGGAACTGTATCAAACCTGCTGTGGCTACTGTGGTGACAATTTCTGTGAAACAAGCACAAAGTCAAACACTTCTTTCTGAAAGTTTAATTCAGCATCTGCAGATGGACTCATCAGTACATATCACCTGAATGACATGCACAAATGAGCAAAGAACATAGGAGAATCTGTGTTCTTATAACTCTCAGCCCCCTCCCACTAAGCATGCAAAGGTATTTATTACCCTCCTGTAGTTTCACTCAGTGGAGGAGACATCCTGTCCATTTGTTTACATGTTCTGTGGATGACCCCCCCGTGAGATCCCAATCAGAGATACCAAGAGATAAAGTTTTGGTTTCTCGAGGCCAGAAAACTCAAGTCTCTTAAGCCACCATTGTAAACCTTAAAGTTAACCCTTTTAGATTAACAATTTGGTCAACTCTTTGGTCAGTCATCCACATACATGTCTGCTCATGCAACTACACATACACAAATGTAAAAACTTCCATTACACTACACTATCAGTGCAGCATTTAGAACAGTCAAAGTTAGAGACGAGTTGATGAAGACCAAAACAGAGCTATGAGGAGGGTGAATATCAAACTTACATTCATCAGGTGGCCAGAAACGACAAATGCATGCTAATGTTGCAGTGTGTCCTCTGGTAGTATAAACTGAGCAGCTTTAAAAAGTGATCATATTTCAGGCTTTTGTTTACAGATTGTCAGGCTTCTCCCGAGTGGCTCAGAAGTCAGCGAATGCAGGTTTAATTAATTCTGTTCCATTCTCTCTTTCAGCTATGGATCCTTCCCGCCTTTGGCTGCCGGCCACAGTACGACAACGGGTTGGAACAGGAGACTTTCGGCTTCAGCATATGGACGACAGTTCTCAATTTTGCCATCCCCTTGAACCTTTTCTACCGCATGCACTCAGTTGCCTCCCTCTTCGAGGTGTTCCGCAGGGTCTGACATATTTGGCAGACGACTGACAATGCCAGGTAACATGCACGGGAACACTTGTCACCACCAGCTCCCCTAGAGTGTCTCATAGCGCAGGTCAACCGTTCAAGAGGCAGTCACGGTCACACTCCAACAGACTTGAAAACAAGCTGCAGAGGCAAACAAAAATGTAGATCCCTTGGTGTGGAGATAGCAGAAGAGGAAGAACCTGCTCACCTGCGTTCCTTGAAGAAATTCCTTGTAAAACACAAGGCCTATTGTAGATGGTGATGAACAGAACCTTTGATTTCCAGTGATTTAAAAAGACCAGTGTACTTTTTGATTTATAATTACATATCAGTAGAAGTTTTTCTCATTGGTGCATCTGTCAAAATTGTACATAGAGCGAATACTACACAAACATTTTGTATTGTTTTATATTAGAAATTGACAATGGAGAATAGACTTCTCACTTGATTTTAATTTCTCAAATGTACAAGTCACTGAAACACCTTTAGTCTAATGCATTTAATAAGGAAATAGTGCTGTATTTAACAGAGCCATGACGGCTTGTTTTTACCACTTGACACATTTTATCTGCATTTAAAATGTGCATACACTTTATGGATAATCGTTCTCATGTTCTTTACTTAGTAGTTCATGTAGTTTGATGGATGTTATGCAACACTTTAGCTACTAGAATAGTAAGAATCTCTCAGTGTGTTTAGACCAAAGTGAAGCCAATTTTTCCCATGGCACAATTACATGCAAAATCAATGCAACGACATGAATAGAAGAAAATACATGTCTACACGAAATGATAACGTCTCAGCTCATCGGTGTTGAGATTCAACGCATGTCACTAGGAATCATGAATGAAGGACCAACTTTCCTGTGGGCACCAGATACCACAATATATACAAAACGTCTGCAGTTTATAGAAAACATTAGTTGGCTATTTTTCAGCCCACTTTCTACTTATATGAACGGAGTTAGCTCTAGCATTGGCTACTTAACCCTGACCCATTTAGTTAGTCAGTCCCCCAATGACCCCAAAATCAGTCCAGCGACCTTACTCATGTGAGAATTTTGTCTGAACACACCATTATAACAGCTCTATATATTAAATAATCTTTATGAGTTGGATACTAGTTCTCAGAAACACCTGCATCTCTCAGTGAACTTTCATCAGTGTCATCCTGAAAGTCAAGTTGAATGAAAGGTTTTGGTAAAATACTGTATAGCACTGTTATACACTGTGATTTGTATCCAATTTATATTAAAAAGTTCAAGACCAGATCAAACATTTACTATCATTTCCAATTGATGAACCTACAACATGTTGAATTCATGTATGTGAACGTGAAAAGATTGTGGTTTAACATGTTCAAATCAGGTGCATCTACATTGGTAAAAAGATGAATATTGTATGTAAGTAGTTATTTTAAAGATTCTCAGTCTTTCCACCTCTCGTTCTAGAGGCTTCTTCGGTTCTGCCAGGTGAAACATTTTTAAGAAACACAAGGTGGCCTATGCAGACCTGTACAACTCCTAGTTCCAGAATTATTATGCCAGAGCAGATATTGTATGTTTACACTCGAAGAATCTGCAATAAAAACATTACAGTCAGTGACATCACTTCTTTATATAAAGCACAAATATACTGTATAGTTGTACTGTACAATGTGTTAAATCAATGTATAGTTCTCAACCTGGTGCTACCTGCTGTATGTATCCTCGCTATGTGCCAAGTAATGGTAAAATTCTTGTGTGTTAGGTGCAAACTGTAATATTCTCTGTACATACTACCTTGCCGATCAGAATCAACCAGAAACTGTGATACAATTTTGCGAGATTCCAATGAAATGGTGCTCATATGTAATGATTTGTACTATAGTAATGAATGTATATCGAAATAAACGATAGTTTGCTTTTTCATATTCCACATCTCTTTTGTTGACATTTGCCTCTTTCCCTTTCACCCTGAGTCTTCTCGGTGCAGTTGTAATACACGTTCGCACCACAGGATGGCGCCACATAATTGTGCTATCGGGACTGCAGCTTGCGTTTTGGTGCCATGAAATTTTCTCGAGACAAAGTGCTTTTAAATAAAATAAATCAAGTCACAGAAACAAATTAATGCAATAGAACAAAAAAGCATCAACTGTGCCTCCAGGTTGTGACTTCATATCAACGAACAATGATCGGTGGATTTCTTTGTCTTTACCACAGCTACGATGTTCTTCATAATGACGCATTTTTGCCAGCACCATCTGAGCAAACACGCACATAAGCGTCATACTTTTGACTTAAGCACATACATTCAGTGGCTGTGGTAACATCTGCAGCAACATCTGCATGGACCGAAGTAAACGTTGTGTTGGAATCAGGTTGCCTGCTGACACGACATCCTGAGATTATAGGTTATACTCCAGAGAATTTGGCATCGAGAGTCGGGGGGATTATTTTGACGTAGAGTCAGAACGATTTGACAGGCACATAGACACGTCTAAAAATAACCGCGAGGTCTCAGAGCCGGAAACGCCGCTGCCGCTGCCGCTGCTGCTCCACAGACGCACGACAGCGCACGACGCATGGCTCGGAACTCCTGGCTATCGTGACCGCAGAGAGTGTGAATGTGACTCACCTGTTCACACAATTCTGAAAAAAGTGGCTGAGCTGTGACCTCCAGTCTGCGGACGTCCGGGGGAAATAAAGGTTTAGAGATACTCTAAAACAGATAGATTTGAAATATCCAAGTGGCTTTTTTCAATTTAGCTGCACACATCAGCCTTTCACGTTTTATATCTAAAAATGAATTAAACATATGCCTGAAAATACTTTAACATTGAGCCATGAGGAGTATGACTTACGGTGCTGCAAGTATGAATCAAAATTATGCTCATTAACGGTTCAAGGCAGTAAACAGTGTCAATAATCATAGAAGGTTTAGATAGATAGATAGACAGACAGACAGACAGACAGACAGATAGATAGATAGATAGATAGATAGATAGACAGACAGACAGATAGATAGATGGATAGACAGACAGACAGACAGATAGATAGATAGATGGATAGACAGACAGACAGATAGATAGATAGATAGACAGACAGACAGACAGACAGACAGACAGACAGACAGACAGACAGATAGATAGATAGATAGATATAAGGATTGACAGACAGACAGACAGATAGATAGATAGATAGATAGATATAAGGATTGACAGACAGACAGACAGATAGATAGATAGATAGATAGATAGATAGATAGATAGATAGATAGATAGATAGATAGATGGAAATACTATGCTCCAGGCTTTCTGCTGTTTTCAGGACCATGGACAGCTCTAAGTGCTTGCGAGGCTCATTTCTAGTTACAATAAATGTACGTATGGTTTAATACGTTTAAAACCTAAAATACAGAAAACACATCATATATATAAATATATTAACGTTACTAAATGTAATCAAGCACAATCATTGTTCACCTCCAAGACTGCGGCATTATGTGATGTCAAACAATGCGCATCGGAGGATAGATTAAACACAATAAGAGAAACCTCTCGAATTTGACTTTTTAATCACAAAGTGTTAATTGAGCTACACAATTACACAATTTTCTTCCGACGAAAAACCTCAAAAAATGTTGAGGATTTTCTCACACTCCTATAGAACAGCGCACTGTTGTGCGCAACGACACGCACAGAGGACGTGTGATGGACTGTGCGCCCAGCCCTGGTCAGGTTAGTGTGCGTCAGGCTGGGAGGACTCCCTCCTCATCCACACAGCGCCTCTCGGACTAAGGGATCCACTGAAGCAGCCTGTAGGACAGACATCTGGACCGGCCAGGCTGCAACATGCGCTCGCCACTGCCTGCTGCGCTTCAGCCCATCAGCGCACCTGGCACGTCGCTCGGCTCAGTTTTAACGCGCTCTCTCCTCTCCCTCCGTCTGTTCCGCACTTCTCACCAGGCTGGCAGCCGAGCGGGTCAATGGGGACTATGCAGTGAGTTGCTGATAACTGCGCCTGTCCCCGCGCAAGGAGCGATGGACTGCAGTTGTACTTGAAGAGACAGATGGAGAACCCAGCCAAGTACCTCTCATCGGTGCAGGGGATTGACTCTGTGCCGGCACCCCAAGGAGAGATTATGTGGAACGGCACCGAAACAGAGGCAACAAGCGAAGGGGGGAAGGATATGGTGGTGCGCACAGTGACGGGCTGTCTGCTGTCCCTACTCATCCTATGGACCCTCCTGGGGAATATACTGGTTTGCTCCGCGGTGCTGCGCTTTCGGCACCTGCGGACAAAAGTCACCAACATTTTCATCGTCTCCCTGGCTCTATCGGATTTATTCGTGGCCGTCCTGGTGATGCCATGGAAAGCTGTGGCAGAGGTGGCGGGATACTGGCCCTTCGGCACTTTCTGTAACGTCTGGGTCGCTTTTGACATTATGTGCTCCACCGCCTCCATCCTCAACCTCTGCATTATCAGCGTGGATAGATACTGGGCCATCTCAAGCCCCTTCCGCTACGAGAGGAAAATGACCCAGCGAGTTGCCTTTGTCATGATAAGCATCACTTGGACGTTGTCTGTGCTCATTTCATTCATACCGGTGCAGTTAAACTGGCACAAAGCCAGCGCGGACGACATGGCTGGGGCGCACAACTCTTCCACGCGTTGGCAGGTAGAGGAAAACTGCGACTCCAGCCTGAGCAGAGAGTACGCTATATCCTCCTCTTTGATAAGTTTCTATATCCCCGTGGCGATTATGATTGTGACTTACACCCGCATATACCGGATTGCACAGATACAAATTAGGAGAATAGCCTCCCTGGAGAGAGCAGCAGAACACGCGCAAAGTTGCAGAACCAACAGAATAGAGTGCCAACATCACAACACCTTGAAAACCTCGATCAAACGGGAAACCAAAGTGTTCAAAACTCTGTCGGTGATTATGGGTGTCTTTGTGTGTTGCTGGTTACCTTTCTTCGTCCTAAACTGCATGGTCCCGTTCTGCGACAGGCCCGCCACAGACCGGGACGCAGGTCTGCCGTGCGTCAGCGAGACGACATTCGACGTCTTCGTGTGGTTCGGCTGGACCAATTCCTCCCTCAACCCCATCATCTACGCCTTCAACGCCGAGTTCAGAAAGGCTTTCGCCAGCCTCCTGGGCTGTCGCTATTTCTGCTCCAACACCCCGGTGGAAACGGTAAACATTAGTAACGAGCTGGTCTCATATAACCAAGATACCCTCATCCACAAGGAAATCGCAAACGCCTACGTCAACATGATCCCCAACGTGGTTGAATGTATT